GGAGCGAGGATCGGGGAGGCAAAACCCGCCCCAGCCCCGCCTTGTTGTCATGCCTAAGTAAGTCTGTGCTATTTTAAGAAAACATTTGTTGGGAATTTTATTATTTTTAAATTTGTAAATAGCCTACATCAAACAACAAAACCTTATCCTACTAAGTGAGATCAGTCACGTAATTCGCATGATGTTGTTTATGTACCATTGGACCTCCGAAGCCTTTCTTGGTCTCCTCTATATTTTATGAGTAAAATATGTTTTCCATTAAAAAAAATATTAGCAATTTCATTTTGAGCACAACAGCAAAAAATTGATTGGTCATGGTAGGATAGGTTTGTTTCCGTTCGGGTTTTAACTAGTTCTGTCAAGTACATAGATACCACATCTCCTGAATTGCTAGAAATCACTATAACTCATGTTGCATTTTTTTATAGGTTATAACATATATTGATTTCTGGGATAAATTCTAGACAGTTTCCTTTACGGTTATATGATTATTTTTTTATCGATTAGTAATTTAAATTTGGAAATCAGTAAAAAAAGAAAAAGAATTTGAATATGGTCCATGGAATGCAACCTCCGGCTCATATTCCTACTGTTGAATATAGGAAAAACTGTATAGGGTTAATTTCCCTTATGTATTTGCCACACATAGGGCAGTGTATTTATAATAAAGAAAGGTACTCCTCAAAAGAGTAACAGAATACAAAATAGGGTAAATAAAAGATATTATTTGATATTGTGATTAACAATATCTAACAATATCTCAACAATATCAAATAATATCAACTAATATCTAATCATATCTAACACTCCCCCTCAAGCTGGAGCATACAAATCGTATGTGCCTAGCTTGGTACAAAGATAATCCATCCTAGGTCCCCAGTAAAGACTTAGTGAAAATATCTCGCTAATTGATCACATGAGTTAACGAACTCGGTCTTGATATCTCCGGACATAATCTTTTCCCGAATAAAATGGCGAGTCAATCTCAATGTGTTTAGTCCTCTCATGAAAGACAGGATTAGAGCTTATATGGAGAGCAGCTCGATTGTCACACACTAGTGTCATTTTAGTGACATCTCCAAATTATAGCTCTTTAAGCAATTGCTTGAGCCAAATAAGTTCACAGGTAGCCGAGGTCATAGCTCTATACTCGCTTCGCACCTTGGATCTTGCCACAACACTTTGTTTCTTACTTTTCCATGAGATCAAGTTACCACCAATGGAAACACAATACCGAGATGTAGATCTTCTATCGAGAGGAGATCCTGCCCAATCGACATCCGAATAGCAGACAACTCTTGTATGATTATGGGAGTCATACACCAAACCTTTTCCAGGAGACTTTTTGATGTACTTCAATATACGGATGATCGCATTCCAATGATCTTGACAAGGAGAATTGAGGAATTGACTCACCACACTGATCGCAAAGGAAATGTCGAGGCGAGTAATCGTAAGATAATTTAATTTTCCAACTAATCTTCTATACTTGTTCGAGATCCGACATTGGCTCCCCCGATTTTGCAAGAGTTTGGTATTAGGATTCATGGGTGTGTCAACGAGGCTTTGAATTCATCAACCCAGTTTCCTCCAAAATATCCAATGCATACTTTCTTTGAGATATAACAATGCCATCGGTAGATTGTGCTACCTCAATACCCAAGAAATATCTCGAGTTTGCCAAGATCTTTGGTTTGAAAATGGTGACAAAGGTGTTGTTTCATCCGAGAGATGTCATGATGGTCACTACCTGTAAGAACAATGTCATCGACATACACTATCAAATAGATACATCCAGACATTCGAGTGACTGGTAAAAGACCGAGTGGTCCGCCTCACTTCTAGTCATGCCAAATTGTTGAACAACGTCGCTAAATTTGCCAAACCAGGCCCTAGGAGACTGTTTTAGGCCATATAAAGATTTGCGAAAACGACATACCAATCCGGAAGACTCCCCCGAGCAACAAATCCGGAGGTTGCTCCATATAGATCTCTTCTTGCAAATCGCCATTCAGGAAAGCATTTTTGACATCCGAGTTGATAAAGAGGCCATTGTTGAATAGCGACCATGGCAATGAATAAACGAACGAAGCCATCTTTGCCACTCGGAGAGAAAGTATCACCATAATCCAACCCAAAAATTTGGGTATAGCCTTTGGCTACAAGGCGAGCTTTGAGGCGATCAATAGTACCATCGGGACCAACCTTGATAGCGAAGACCCACCCGCAACCAACAACAGATTTTCCAGGATGGTAATGGGACAAGCGTCCGGGTTCCACTAGTCCGAAGAGCACCGAGTTCATCTAGCATGGCCTCGACGCCAACCAGGGTGGGCTAAGGCTTCGAGAGACGATTTAGGAATAGACACGGAAGAAATAGACGAGAGACAGGTATAAAATGGTGAAGAAATTCGATGATAACTTAAAGCGAGTATAATGTGGAGAAGGATTACGAGTAGAACGCGTACCTTTACGAAGGGCAATAGGAAGGTCGGACTCTGCGGACGGAACCGGAGGAGGCGAGTATTTGGCACGGGAGTGAGTCATGTGGCGTCTGTTGTGGGCGAGGTCTGCGACTATAAACCTGAAGGGGTGGTGGAGGAGGAGGGGCTAATGGTGGATGGTCCGCAACATAAGGATCAATGAGAACAGGAATGGGAACTGTAGCAGATGGAGACTCAGCAGGTAGGGAAGGGTCTTTAAAGTAAAAGGAAAACTCATTGAAGGTGACATCGGCAGACACAAAATAGCGATTAAGAGAAGGAGAAAAACACTTTATCCTTTTTGGGATCGAGTAAATCCTAAGAAAACACATTTGTGTGACCGAGGAGATAACTTATCATGACCGGGATCAAAATTGTGGACAAAACAGGTAGACCCAAAAACCTTCAGAGGTATAGGATGGAGAGTGTCATGAGGAAATAAAATAGAATGGGGAATTTTGTTATCTAAAACCGAAGAGGGCATACGATTAATAAGATAACAGGCAGTAAGAACAGCATCACCCCAAAAATGTTGAGGAACCTCACCATGAATTAAAAGAGTACGGGTTGTTTCAATAAGGTGTCTATTCTTGCGTTCGACTACCCCATTTTGTTGAGGGGTATAAGCACAGGAAGTTTGATGAAGAATGTCATGAGAAGCCATAAATTGTTTAAACGAGTTTGAAAGATATTCACGGCCATTATCACTTCGAAAAGTTTGAATAGAGACACCAAATTGATTTTTAATTTCATGATAAAAGTTTTGGAATATAGAAAACAACTCGAACGATTTTTCATTAAAAATAACCAAGTACAACGAGAGAAATCATCAATAAAAGTAACAAAATATTAAAAACCTAAATTAGACTTAACACGACCGGGTCCCCAAATGTCGAGTGAACTAAGGCAAAGGGGGATGAAGCACGCTGGGAAACACTACGAGAAAAGGAAGTACGACTATGTTTGCCTAACTGACGGGACTCACACACCAAATTGGACAACCGGGATAAGCCGGGAACAAGTTGTCTGTAATTTTCGCAGACTTGGGTGACCAAGCCGAGCATGAAGGAGAGAAGAAGACTCCATAACCGTGCCAACATGTGGAGAGGGTTGAAGATAATAAAGTCCATGTGACTCACATCCGGTGCCAATCACTCTTTGCGAGCTCCGGTCCTGTAGGGAAACGAAGTTTTGGTAAAAGAGATAACACAATCAAGAGATCGAGTTAGACTGGCTAATGGATAATAAGTTAAAGGGGGACCCGGTACATACAAAACATTATCAATGGACAACGAGGAAAAAGAGTAATCGTTCCAACACTATGAGCTAAAGTTATAGACCCATTAGCCATTGTAACAGAGGGTAAATTATGAGAAGAAGTGAAAGAGGAAAATAAGGATTTGTTACCGGTGATGTGATCGGTGGCGCTCGAGTCAAGAACCCAAGAGCCAATAGAAGAAGAGTGAGTCGGACCAAGCAAAAGATATACCCGTGTGGGCAACGTAAATAGTGGAACCTGGAGGGCTTTCGATCCTCATACCATTGAAGAAAATCATTGAAGATAGCAAATTTGTCCGAAGGTACAGACGAAGGAGGATCCACAAGCAGAGGATTGTGCGGAAGAATCGGCCCGAGCAACTGCAGTAGATCGACGAGGATAACCATGTAAAGCATAACATTTGTCAATTTTGTGGCCTAGTTTGCCACAATGGTCACACTTGACACGCCCTTTGCCCGGCTTGTGAGAGCGATTACGATCATCACGGTGAGAGGCCAAGGCGAGATGAATCATTAGAAACTACAGGGGGAATATTGAGAGGTTTACATGGCACCCGCAAAAGGGAGGAACTGGTAGCGGTAAACCGGGTGTAACAGGGGAACCCAAAATGCGGTCACGAACAGGGGCATATTTATCAGCAAGTCCGTGTAACATCAAAACCATGAAAAACTTTGATCGTTGCTCTAATTCTTGGGCAGGAGTCGAGGCAGGGGGTAATAACTCATTAAATTCATGAAGAAGAGCATGGATCTTACCCACATAATCCGCCACAGGATCCTTATCTCGAGGAGCAATAACATCAAGAAGATTGTAACAAACACCATAAAGACGTTGAGTGTCATTGGTGTATAATAATTTGGCTTGTTCCCAAACGTCATAACATGTGCCATACGATCATAACAATATCTAACAATATCTCAACAATATCAAATAATATCAACTAATATCTAATCATATCTAACACCTACTATCCTTTAAACCTAAATCTAAAAAGACTAATGAAAATAAATAGAATAAATACATTTTTCTTTGCAATTAATATTTTTGGGGGATTTTAACCAATAAAGACTTTTTACCAAGCAATTCCTATAAAATAAAAATTGTCAAAATTAATTGTCACTAAAAGTAATAAAATATTATTATATTTGGTGATACACCATCCATTAATGACGATAATTAACAGAATGTACTAAAATCATTGCCAGACAAAAGTGTGATGTACTAAGATCAATCAAATTTTAGCTAATGTACCTGCTCAATGATGGTGAAGAACCTCTACAAGGTGATATCAGAGATGCACCATCCTGAATTTCTTTAAGCTCATGATCCTGGATGATAACATTCAAAAAGAAAAAGTTAAGAGATCATTTGGGGACATGTTTTAGTGTTTACAAGAGATAAGATTTGGTGTGCAGCATGTATACCAATGGCAGCCGAGAGAAAATTGCACGGTTACACAAGGAAATCACGTACCGCATTATAAATTGGTATTTGATTGCGCCAAAACTCTAAGGGAGGTAGAAGCAACCTGCCTGCAACATAAACCGGGCATAAAGATCTCTTAAGTAAATGATGTTTTAAATTACATAACAAAAGGCTAACAATAGCATTGGGTGAGAGAGTTGGATAACGAGAGTGGATGAAAATAACAAAAAGCACATTTATTAAATGTAAGGCATAAGATGGAGTAGTTTGTGCATAGACAGTAATGAAAAGTATACCAGATCTGGATGTTCTGAAACTCGATGACATAGGAGAAACAGTGGATCTTTGCTGTTGGCTTCCCTTGGTCAAGTGACTTTGGTCCTTTTTTCGCAAGTTTTTCACAGCAGAAGCAGATTTATTCAGTACTCCCTTACGCCTGCCCCTTTTTTCCTTATAACAGCCTTCAGTCTTTGGTGATGATGTTCTACAAATTCTGGAAGAAGATTTTTTAACTATCTCCTCAGATGAAGTGCGTAGTTGTCTCCATGATTGTGACTGAATAGGTGTTGCTAAACTTTCTGGTCCCACTATATCACAATTATCCAAGGCCACTGAAGTATAGTTTTTATTATTTGAATGTTTTGGAGGCAATCCAGAAGCAGACTGTTTCTTCTGCTGGTTTACTTTAACATCATGCAACCTCAAACTTCGTCTTTTCCCACCTATACTACAAGCAACATCAGCCCCACCCACCTCCTTTGACACGTTGCATTCATTTTCAGTCTTCTCGTGATCACCCTGGGCCTTCTCTGGTGATTCCAAAAAAGTAGGATTACAATTTTCCACACCTGTAATAGCAATTAAAAATCTATAGAGAAACTGAATTGCAAGGAATAATAAAATATCAAACAAGTACAAGACATGAATAACAACAGATGCAATTTACAACCATCAATTGAATATTCACTCCTTGATTGTGATGGAATGGGCGTTGCCGGACTTCTCCATCCCTCTACATCACAATTCTCAAAGGCCACTGAAGCAGAGTTCTCCTCACTATCTGGACGCTTCAGCATACCTCCAGAAGCAGCCTGCTTCTTCTGCAGGCATACTTTAATATCATGCAACCTTGCACTAGTTCTTTTCCCACCACCACTACAAACAAGATTAACCCCATCTATCCCCTTTGACACATTACAATCATATCTAGGAAATAGCTTTCCGTGATCTTCTGGCGCCTGCTCTGGTGATACCAAAGTAGTAGGAATACAATTTTCCGCAACTGCAACTGCAATGGCAATTACAATATCTATAGAAATTGGATAGATAGGAAATGATAAAACACCAAACAGGTTACATGAAATGACTAAACATAAGTGCAAATTATTAAGAGCATCACTAGAATATTTACTATCAGATAAAATTTCTGGACGGCTAGCTGATACGTTCTTAGAAAAAGCACCACCCAAATCAGTGCCAGTGGTTGATTCTTCTCTGGAGAAACCTAGAGCATAGCTTTCCCAGTCTGGAGGGAAGCCAAATAAAAATCGATTGAAAACCTAGCAAAGAAGAAAAAAAAAACAATTAAAAAATCAAATTGGGACATTATCCATCATAAACCAAGGCTAATGACCTCCATAAACAACAATTTGCAATATCAAACCAAAAACATCAATACTTACATGAGCACGATACACATCATATGATACACCAAAAATGTAAGACAATGCTTATAGAATAGAAAGGGAAAAGTAAAAAACACTGAATAAAAATTAATTGAACTTCTCACATAAACTAAAGTCAATTTATACACTTAATTTCCACGTAACCTCTCTCCTTTAACTTCTACAAAATCAAAAAGTTCAATTCATTTTATCTTCATATACTCTTATCCACAAGTTTTCAAAGATAAGTTTATCCAACAACAAAATGCTACAAACCTGAGGGTCGAAACCGTTTTCAAGTGTGCGCCGCTCGTTGATGAAGCCACTAATTATAACATATCTCCCATCCACAGTCTCGAGAGAAAATGCATCGTATCTTTTGATAATGGGAGCAGAAACAAACACGCGCATTGCCTCATCCCTGAGTCACAAAATGAAATCGTTACACTAATCACACAATTTCATCATCACGACCATCATCACGACCATCATCATTCCATAAAAAATGAGCAAGCTCCAAACAATTCAAATGTGACACCGACATTGCACGAAAACACTCGCAGAAACCCTAACTCGAAGAGAGGGAAGAATTTTAGGCTTACTTTCTCGATGAGACGCCAGCGATGGCTAAACTCTTTCCTTGGAAGTCATTTCTAGCTTTAATCAACCACCAATCGTATAAAGTGACCTTAAGAGACGAAATAACAGCATTAGAATTGAAAATTGTAGAAGGGGAAAGTTGAAAGAAGGAGAAAGAAGGAAGGAAGCGTGAGCAACAGTTCGTTGAAAAAAGCACGATTCAACGTCGTTTGATAGAGTTTGAGTCGGAGTGGAGTCAGCCATTACAGGGAGTGTGTTCTCCCTTTCCTGATAGTGTCTGATATTCCCGCGTAACTTCTTGAACGCTACTTCCAATTTAATATGGCACCATTGCATTTGCAATTTTTCATATTTTTATTTTTATTTTCATAACTAAACATCTCTTTGTTTGATTGATATGAATGTCATTTTTATAAGATTATTTAATGAGTATTTTTAACATAAAAACTAAAATATTCAAAATCTAAACAAAATAAAATTAAATCCAAATATTAGTAGAAATAAAATTAGTTTTTTAAAATTAAATACCACCACAAATATAATAAAATTTCTATAAATTTAAATAAAAAAATATAAATTATTTTTAATTATTTAATTTTAAAAAAAAATCTCTAATATTAAACAAGAAAGATATTATTCTAAAGTTAAAATTAAACAATAAAAATAAAAATAGAAATTGATGTATAATATAAATTTTATATATATATATATATATATATATATATATATATATATTAATAAATAAATACTTAACATGTTGACATTTAGGTTTTTTTACCAAACAAGATAAAAAAATGTTGATTTTATAGTAAAAAAATTTTAATTTTATTAAAATAAGTTAAATAGTGTGAGATGTGACGAATTCTCCGTGCTTACAAATATATTTGTAACTAAAGTCATGTAATACTATTTAATTATATAATTTTTTTAAAATGTGTTAGATAAGACAAGTTTTAAATAATTTGTAGTTAATTCTTATCAGGAATTTTTTTAAATACTATTTTTTATTTTTTTAATATATTATTATTTCAAATATATTATTTATATTATTATTATTTTTTTTATTAATTGTTTTCCTATTTTTATGTAATTTTACATTTTATTATATTAATATTTTTATTATTAATATTTGTTATGTTAGTATTGATTTTTGTTGTTTTTTATTATTTTTTATATTAATATTATTATTATTAATTTTTTTCATATTTTTATATTATTTTGTTAATATTATTATTATTATTATTTGTTTTGTTAGTATTAATTTTTTCTGTCTTATTTATTTCTTTCATATTATTATTATTATTTTGTGTTTTCAATAAATTCGCCATTTAACCTATTTTAATAAAATTAAAAATATTCAATTTTGTTAGATAAAATCAACTTTTTTTACCTCTTTGTAAAAAAAAATCTTTATGTTTATTATAAACAAATATAATTATTAAATATATTTATTTAATTTTTATTAGGAACTTCCAAATTTATATTTTAGAAGCAAAATAATTAGAAAATAATTTAAATCAAATTTATTTATTTTAAATATAAAAGCTAAAAATAAAATTTATTCAACTATAAGTACTTAATAAGGTTTTAGATTATTAAAATTTTTATTTTTTATTTATAGTAGTAATATATTTTGACCTACATAGTTATTAACGGTAGTATTAAATAAAAAAATAATTTAACTGTTTTTTATGATTTAATATTTTTCATAACTATATATTATTTTTTAATTAATTTTTATATATTTTAAAGATGTTATCTTAATAATATTTACTTTTTTATATAATAATTATAGATAATTAAATTTTGTATTGAATTAAATAATTTTTACTATGATAAAAAATTTAACCGGTGGCATATTTTCAGATATATTTCGAAATGCATATTTTTTTATGATCATGTTAATATTATGATCGTTATTATTTACAAAATTATATTATTTTATTAAATAAAATTAATTATTTTTATTAATATATGAGGAATAAAAATAGTATGATATAATTTATATTATTATAAAAAATTATATAAACTAATATCATCTTTTATTAAATAAAAATAATTTTAAATGAAAGGTCAACATATTATCTATAGAAGAAATTTAAAGTAATATTATTAAAAATAAAAAATATAAATTATATAAATATTTTTAAATGAAAAATTACAAAATGATATTAATAATATAAAAAATATAAATTATATTAATTTATTTTAAACATAATAACAGGATACATGTGTTTTCATGCTACTAAAGGAAGGAATGTATATTGGAAAAATATGAAAAGTGAAGAAGGGTACAAGAAGTCAAGCCCGCCAGTATAGATTCGAATCTGCAACCGTCCAAACTCGGTTAGCCACATCTAACGGCTCTTGATAGGGTCTTGGAACATTCTCGAAAAAGGACTAACAAACCCTAACAAAGTGTGAAAGGACCGCTATATAAACCCCACACTTCTCCATTGTTTAACCTCTTCACTCAACCTCTAAATCCAGCTGCGGTTCAAAACCTCTCAGATCTCTCTTCATTTGCCGATATCACAGAGAACTCAGCATGGCAGGTAAAGGAGAGGGTCCAGCCATTGGAATTGATCTCGGAACCACGTACTCGTGCGTTGGTGTCTGGCAACATGATCGTGTTGAGATCATAGCCAATGACCAAGGTAACAGAACGACGCCTTCTTACGTAGGGTTCACCGACACAGAGCGTCTCATCGGTGATGCTGCCAAGAATCAGGTTGCCATGAACCCTATCAACACCGTCTTTGGTAAGTTCTGTTACTTCAGTTTTCAGCTATCCTATCAATAGCCTCTTTGTTTCTTGTTAGCACATTTTCGTATTAATGTTTTCGTTTATGTGTATGACTTGCAATGGTAGATGACTTTTTGTTATTTAAAATTGTTTTTTCGATTTGTTTAGTTATAGTTTGTTGATGCATATCCATTTAAAAATCATTTATTTCTACTGAATTTTTATGTAATAAAGTAGTGGTGACTTGAAAACCGGATGTCTTTGTTAAAATAGTTAGAGTTTTAGCCATGTGATTGGTCCTTTACTTGTGTATAAGGAATGTGTATGTGTGGATAGCGATAACAAGCAGAAGTTGATTTACCTTTGTAAGAGAAGTTTAACCTCATGTGCTTTTGATAAGTTTATTCAAACATCGATTTGACTTCTTTCAGCATATTTTGACTAAGTAATATTTCACATATTTTTTCCTAAAATGCGACTATTGAGTTGTCATGGTCCTGCAGATAGAGCTGTTTTAGCATTCGGCCTTTGCATTTTCTCGTAGAATAGACCAAGACATGTATTTATTAATGTGAATTACTATGTACATATTTATAGTTTTGCTTTGTATCTCTCACAGATGCGAAGAGATTGATTGGTCGTAGGTTCACTGATGCCTCTGTTCAGAGTGATATTAAATTGTGGCCTTTTAAGGTGTTTTCTGGACCTGGTGATAAGCCAATGATTCAGGTTAGCTACAAGGGTGAAGATAAGCAGTTTTCTGCAGAAGAAATCTCTTCTATGGTTCTTATGAAAATGCGTGAGATTGCTGAAGCTTATCTTGGCACCACAGTCAAGAATGCTGTTGTTACTGTCCCTGCATACTTTAACGATTCTCAGCGTCAAGCCACCAAGGATGCCGGTGTTATTGCTGGTCTTAATGTCATGCGAATTATCAATGAGCCTACTGCTGCGGCTATTGCATATGGTCTTGACAAGAAGGCTACCAGTGTTGGTGAAAAGAATGTCTTGATTTTTGATCTAGGGGGTGGTACTTTTGATGTATCTTTATTAACCATTGAAGAGGGTATCTTTGAGGTGAAAGCCACAGCTGGTGACACTCATCTTGGAGGTGAGGATTTTGATAACAGGATGGTGAACCATTTTGTTCAGGAGTTCAAGAGAAAGAACAAGAAGGATATCAGTGGTAATCCCAGAGCACTTAGGAGGTTGAGGACTGCTTGTGAGAGAGCAAAGAGAACCCTATCTTCCACTGCCCAAACCACCATTGAAATTGATTCTCTGTATGAAGGAATTGATTTCTATTCCACCATAACCCGAGCTAGATTTGAGGAGCTCAATATGGATCTCTTCCGTAAGTGCATGGAACCAGTTGAGAAGTGTTTAAGAGATGCCAAGATGGACAAGAGGACTGTCCATGATGTTGTACTTGTTGGTGGTTCCACTAGAATTCCCAAGGTTCAACAACTTCTGCAGGATTTCTTTAATGGAAAGGAGCTTTGCAAGAGTATCAATCCTGATGAGGCTGTGGCATATGGTGCTGCTGTTCAAGCTGCTATCTTGAGTGGTGAGGGTAACGAGAAGGTTCAGGATCTTCTCCTGCTTGATGTCACCCCACTCTCTCTCGGGTTGGAAACTGCTGGTGGGGTTATGACAGTTTTGATCCCCAGGAACACTACAATCCCAACAAAGAAAGAACAAGTTTTCTCAACCTATTCTGACAACCAGCCAGGTGTTTTGATCCAGGTTTATGAAGGTGAGAGAACAAGGACCAGAGATAACAATTTGCTGGGCAAATTTGAACTTTCAGGCATTCCTCCTGCACCCAGAGGTGTTCCCCAAATCACAGTGTGCTTTGACATTGATGCCAATGGTATCTTGAATGTCTCTGCCGAAGACAAAACTACTGGCCAAAAGAACAAGATCACCATTACCAACGATAAGGGTAGATTGTCTAAGGAAGAAATTGAGAAGATGGTTGAAGAGGCCGAGAAGTACAAGTCCGAGGATGAAGAGCATAAGAAAAAGGTGGAGGCAAAGAATGCATTGGAGAACTATTCATACAACATGAGGAATACCGTGAAGGATGAGAAGATTGGAGGAAAACTTGACCCAGGTGACAAGAAGAAGATCGAGGATGCTGTTGAGCAGACAATTCAGTGGCTGGACAACAACCAACTTGGAGAAGCAGATGAGTTTGAGGACAAAATGAAGGAATTGGAAAGCATCTGCAACCCTATCATAGCCAAGATGTACCAGGGTGGTGCTGGTCCAGACATGGGAGGTGCAATGGACGATGATGTTCCTGCTGGTGGAAGTGGTGCTGGTCCAAAGATTGAGGAAGTGGACTAATTTAGTTTCTACCTGCTTGGTCTCCTATTTATTTTCAAAGACTTGTTTGACGTGTTTTTCATGGATTAGGTTATGAAAGAGTACTTGGACTATGTCGACTATGTCAGTATCGTGTCACTTTTTTATTCTATTTTAGTTATGGCAGATACGAGCTTTAAAGCTTGTGTTGTATTCTTAGTGTGTCACTTTTTTATTCTATTTTAGTTATGGCAGATACGAGCTGTTAAGCTTGTGTTGTATTCTTAGTATGTATCTTGTTCCGTGGTTTACAAATACAAACCCAGTTTGTTTGTTTCTCAATTCTGGTTCGGTGAGGCATTATACATTTTTACTATGGATAGCTTTGCGGGGATGTTCACATCTTAAAACAGCATATTTATTTAGGGGTATTTCCTTCTGACATCATGGGAGGAAGGATTACCCATGGTCCAAAACGATAAGCACTTAATTTGTTTTTTTAGTTTGTCTCGGCTATGGATTAGAATCATCTTTTCGTACCTTTTCTCGATAAAAGCTACAAAACGGTACCTTTTCTCGATAAAAGCTACAAAACGGTTTGGGGCATTTAGTTCCGAATACAAGTTACGGTAGTCTCTGTAATCCACAGTAAATGTACAGTAGGAGTTGTGGCAAAAGGGTGATTTTAGCTTGATCTACCGGAAGTACAAAAATTTGATAGTGATTGGAGGTTAATTTTGGCTTAATTAAAAATTTTAAAAAATATTTATATTAACATGATTAATTAAAAAATAAAAATAAAAATTATAAATAAAAAAATATTTTTAAAATTAAAATTATATTAATAGAATTAATTTTTATTTTAAATATAAGAATATCTTTAATAAGTGCAACTCTCATTTTATATTTTAAAAAATATAAAATAAAGATTTACATATTATCATGTTATTTTTAAGATTTTACTTTATTCAATTTTTTTTAATAACTTTTAAAAAAATTATTTTTTCTTCTCATTTATCTTTATTTATTTATTTTTTTAAGTTATTTTAAAAAACATCTAAAATAAATATTTAAATAACTTATTATATTAATTTAATTTAAATTCTAAATTTATTAGTCCATCTTTATTTCTTAAACAAAATGGGTAGGTTTTCTGTGATTTAAGTTTCAAATTTATTGGTCTACTCTTACTTATTTGTCAATCCTTTAATCAAGCTTATATTAACCTCTAATAAACATTAATTTTATTTTATGTTAGGTAGGTACAAAAATAACTACTTATTTCAAACTAAATTTGCATCCAAACCTAAGAAATATATTAAAAAATAATGTACTAAAATACCCCTTCGAGAAAAAAATTATATTTAAAATAAACTTGTAAAAACATAAATAACATAATGAAAAATATCTTATAACAATACTCGTTCAAGATAAAAAAAATCAAAATATTATAATAGCTAATGAACAGATATTGTAGTATTAGTATTTTTAATAAAATAAATATTTACTTAATTTTTAATAACTAACTCGACTTTAAATATATAAATTATATTATAATTAAAATTTGTAATTGATTTTAAGTCGTGACGACATGGTTATGCCCGAGAAAGTTCATATTATTTTGATAAGAAGGAAGTATGATAGTAAGAAATATATGTGAAAAGTGAGTAAGAAAAACTTTTAGAAATAGACAACCAAACACAATCACCAGTCCTGTTTTGTTAAACTCTATCATTTCCCTTCCTAAAAATATCTCTAAAATACTTTCACCAAAAATAAAAAATCTTATAAAATACTCTTATGTTCCCAAGGATGCTCAAATCCCAGAAACATATAATCCGCACTTAAGTCTTTATAATATCTTCAATAGACAAATATCTACTCTTAGGTTTATCTCTAAACTCATCTTCACCAAGAGATCGCAGATCAAAAAATACGTCAAATCCTCTAGGATGGATCAGTATGCTTTAGCCTCCACCGATGAAGAATAGTAATAGTACGTTAATATTGAGATTCTCAAATATCTCATTAGGTATTGGCAGAAGGAAGGATAAACTCACCTTCATTATGGGCTAGTCCTTTCTCTCCACGGAAAACATGGATTACCTATCTCTCTTAAACTCCAGCTACCTCCATTATGAGCATGCGGTCATAGGCACCATATTGACTACTCTCCATGCCGGAAGTGTAGTCCTAACTATCTTTCCTAACTTCAACGTTAGTTTGAAATATCCCACCATCTCTCAAAGATTAAAGGTTCAGATCCAATTACCAGAGCTGAACAAGTAGCTGAAACCCTATCATCCATTCTTCATCACCAGATAATCTACAAACTGCAAGATCATGCCATCAATCTTGCATTACCTTCCGGTAAAGATGGAGCTTTATTCGTCTTGACCAATAACCAACATGAAACGCCTTCCATAGTCTAGATCCCTAGAAACATCTCATAACAAGAATTTTAGAAGTTTATCCCTATGCAGTGGGTCACCAATTATGAGAACCTCCATACCAATCAGAAACCAATCCAATTTACTGAAGCCACTTTTAGAAGATTTGTAAATGGTACTGTCAAAACCATCTTCAAGAACCCTGAAGATGTCCCCAGTTCAAGCACCTCCATATTCCAGTCTATGATGATATCACCTGTCACCAAAGAAGGAAAGATCCCCATCGCTAGTGTATATCATGACGGAAAGCCGATCTTCACATATAAGATAAATGGACATTTCATATGGGATGCAGATCTAGACATGTATGATTGTGACTGTGAATGTTGTGACCACACTAGAGATACCACTGATGAAGATGACGACTTAGAAGAAGATGATGACTTTGGAGGAGGATCTTGCATACTTCCTTTCTCTCCCAACACACCTTGAGGAGACTGATGATAAACTCCAATATTTTAACTCAACTCTAAGAAAGTATTATAAACAACTTTTCTCAGAACTCTCAAGGTTAAAAGAAGATTGGAAAAACACCATTTTTGAAGAATTATCTCACGCGAAAGAGAAGGAGATTAGAAGACTTAAAGCTCAAATCCAGGAAATGGATGATTACATTGAAGTCAAGGTCAAGTAGCAAAGAATAGAGAGAGATCCTTATCCATCTCTATTTATTTCAACTCCGACCTACTTCTCTTTCTAGAATCCGTGTTCTTCCGCCCATGGACACAGACATCCTAGTCTTTACCTACAACTACTGCTTATAGATCATGACCCAGACTAGCAGCACCGAAACCAGACAAAGGCAAGAAAGTCGTCCCACCTTCTCAAGAATCCTCTTATGAAGACCAACCTTCACCAAGAGAACAAACCCATCAACATCCATTTGATCCTGTTTTTCAAGACTCTCAAGATCCCTGCTCTCAGATGACTATATAACCTTGTTAAACTCCTAAAGATACTCCTACAATTGTTGAAAAGTATTCCTTTGAAGAGTAAAAAACAGAAGTTCCCAGTTATGAAGATCTAACCCAAATTTTGATGATCAATACCTCTAGATCAGAAGTCAAATATGAACTTATCTATGACTCTCCTAATGAAGAAGTCAACTCTGGACCTACTAAGTCAAACATCTCTTCAAAGCCGAATAGAGGACCTTGATTTACTATTAACGATATCCCTCCAAGCCAGTGGAAAGCTAGACTAATTGAATTTGGAGCCTGGTTAGACACTAAACTAGTTAAAGATTTTGATTCCTACAAAGTTATTGAAGAATTTTGTTGCAGAATGACTGGAACCTTGAAGGAATGGTACCATAACTTGGGAGTTGCTAGACAAAACCAGTTCATGGATTGGGACAAACTTCAACAATACTAGGAGCCTTACATAAAGAATTCACAAGGGATGACTCGATAATTGATAATAAATTCAGGCAAGAATTTTTTGAGATGAAATGTTGTTCGGTAAAGATCAAGGATCTAGAGAAACATTATCAAAGAATGAACAAGAGATTCTACCATCTCAATGGATTCAATGATCCCTATCTGAAAATACTTATGTAGCATCTCTTCTTGCTGAAATCCAGTTAGAGCTAAACAAGATGACAATGGTTATCCAAAAGGACTTCATCACCTTGACTATGGGTCAAATCCATCAAATGACCATAGACGTAGTTGATAAACTATGCAGACAATATGAATTCTTTTCTGATATCATGACATAAAAGAGTAAGTTTAACAAGGTCTACCAGAAGCCCTATCTTCCTATTTAGGCAACTGCAAGAAGAAAAAGCGGGAGAAGCAACATACCTGCAAGAACAATAAGAATTTCAAATTCTTCAAGAAGAAGATTTGAGGGAAATCTCAGAATCAAAGATGTTTTATCTACAAGAAGAAAGACCATTTCTCCAAGAGTTTTCCTCACAAACCTGAAAGAGCCATAAAGTTTATCCCCATCCTCAAACTCGGAGATAATGAAGATATAGAGTTCATGTACTCAGAATAAAGCTATACAGATGAAGAAACACTCCTTCGATGAAACAAAATCTGACTATTCAAACATAGAATCAGAGACAGATATTGTTCCTGTCTTCTCCTTCCAAAAGATCAATCCTATTAATGTCTCTTCTCCTCGACCCTGCCAAGAAGTTCACCTTCTTTCTTCTTTCTAAGTATGAAAAAGCCATTGGCACAAGATGTTATAGATGTTGTGTGTGGTGAGCAAGTAAGGGACGTGGGACCCAGTGAACACATGACAAAGTCAGTGGAAAACAAAGGCAACCGCAAAAGTGACAGAAAAAGAATAATCAATTCTGCATTGAAGGATTCCGTGTGGGGCACTAAGTGATTATAAAAACAGAATTTGTTACATGAGAAAAGGGAGGAAAACAAATGATATGAATTGTCTCTTTCTCTCTCTTGGCCCATTTGGGATATTCTTCTGTCATTTCTGTTAATTTCTGCATTTTTGTAACGAATTGTAAGAAATTCACGGTTGTTACTCCTTCTTTTTCCTCATTATTTGAACTTTCCATATTCCATATTAGAACTCATGTTGCTCTGCTATCATTATTCCCCATACTATCTCAGTTAATAT